AGAAATTTAATTTTCACTCAATGTTGTGTTTTTTTCAGGGAGAGTTTCTTATTTGTCTATTGTATATACACTAATTATTTGTTTTATGGACTCCGCAGTGAGTTTGACACTAGAGTCTGAAGTCTTGTGTGAGCCGAAGATGGGCTCTCCGCTCTTCATGTTTACTTTTAGTAATAACTCTGTTCTTAACTGTAGATTTTAAGGTGACACGTCCTCACTGCTGTCCAGTGTAGCGCCTGTACGCAACAACTTGTTCTGGATCAAAAGTGTTTTACAACTTGTTGGCGAAAGTTTCTTAAACAAATGTATAATTGTCCATAAGGTTTTTTGTCGAGTGCAGCAAGGTTGATAAACATGAGGTTTTCTCAGTGGCAATATGAGTGACAGTAAAGTGAAAGTTAGTTCAGCTGTTTTTATGTGTTTTGACTTGTTTTAATTTCTGTTACAGTGAACAATACCAAAGGATTTTATTTTAGCACTTGATGCTTAAGATCCAGGTTTTTAAAAAAACAAAACAGACCCTTTCTTTAGGGACCGTGGAGAATTGTTTGTGTTTTATTTTTTAGCAAAAAGAAGAGAGAACGCTTTCTCCTGCTTTGCATTTTTTAACCAATTGTATTGTCTTGTTTCTGCACTATCTCTATAACAGTTGAACTGTTGGGATTTTCTTTTCAGAAATTAATCAAAATCAACGATTTGAAACAGACATCTATCATGTTTTAGTCTTTTCTTGTTGTCTGTAAATTTAAAAACCTCTCAAAAAGGTGTGTTTTTGTCTGGAATAATTACACAGCTCAAAAGGTTCATAACAGGAAACTCATCAATATTAGGTGCAACCAGATTTTTATTCCCGAAACAGTATTTCATGAAGTTGTATGACAATTTTTTTACAATGGCAATTTAAACTGTTAAATGGAGAATTTTTATGTGTGCCTGTGTGTAAGCGTCTTCACTTCAACAGTACAATTGAGCCGTCCCTGTGATGTAGAGCTCTGAATAGCAGCACAGAATGTAAACCGCATCTTTATTTTGATTTTGGCCTACTGAGCATGTAGCAGTCACTGACCCCTCACTGAGAGCGACAGGGTGTAGTTCTGTGTGTACCTGATGTGTTCATCCACACACTGAATGTATTCTGATACAGCTTCTAGCCCTGCCAACACATCTGCTGTGCCTTGGAAGAATAAAAGATTATAATTATGATCTGGGAGTCAGTCTCTTGATTCACTGTTGCCAGCACATGAACACATGACTATATGCTGTGAGAAAAAGAGTCTGATTTCAGAATGCTAATGCTAAAGCAGGTATACTGTTAAGCATGTCCATTGAATATAATTTAAGATGTCTGCATGCTAACATGTGCTGATTGGCACTAGAGGCAAAGTAGAGCCGAGGCTAATGAGGTCATTTTTCAAACATTTAGTCACAAACAGAAGTATTAGTGGGTGACAGACCCTTTTTTTCCCTTAGTGATTTAAAATAAATTGAATTATTTGTATTTATGCTATGCATGTATATTTGACTGCATTTTTATGTCTTAAAATAAAATATGGATTGGGAAAAAAGTGAAACAATTTCACCCGGTAATGGAGCTTTAGATGAAAAGTCTTCCTGGGGGGAACTTGACTGTGCGAACCACATTTATTAGCTATTACATTGTTACTGAGACAATACACAAGATAACAACTGTCAACATGAGAGTGGAGCTATGAAGAAAGGACAGAGGGTCCCCGGTGTGTAGGATTCCTCCTCTGGGGACCATGAATATCTGTTCAAAATGTCTAAATAATGGATCTGCTAGTTGTGAAGATATGTGTCGTCCCTGGAGCCATGCTGCTGACCGGCATAACAAAAACGACACGCAAACATGGTTATAAAGCTTTTATAAGACATCTTATACAGTGCACTAAAATACAGATTCAACTTCATACAAGAGCTTAAAGAAGTTTTTTCCACATGGACTATTGATTGTGCAAATGCTGTGCTGAGTTAAGACGTTGTATTCAAGATTATGTGAGGATCTTTGTAGCTTTCTATTCTTTTACACAACCGTTTCCAGGCCCTGAAGAATGTTATACTCCATAAGTAAAACTACGTACCTTAGATACATTTAGGATATACTTCCCTTAGGCCTGCATGTAATTTGTGCTGTGATGTTGTGCTTTACAAAGCATTTTAACCTATTCTTATTTAAGGCCACTTTAAAGAGAGTGTGCAAAAAACCTGCACTAGTCAGTGCCTCGACACACACTGCAGCTACATTAGATTTCTCAAAAATAGACACACATATATACATATATACCTATACATATATGTGTGTGTGTGTAGGTATAAAAGTAGCTACCTTGTACTGTGTGACATGGTTTTGATGGCAGGGCTATTCACTCTCAGGCAACATGCAAGTAAAAATTGTATAGCTGTGTTGAAGTAGTGACGAGCAAGGCAGTGAGCTGCGAGTGTCCCTTTTCAAACCAAAATAATCCTTCTCGGGAAACACACAGAAGGTGATAGAGAAAGCAAAAGAAAAAGATTCTATCAGAAAAGAGTCTAAAAAAGAAATTGGAATGGTTCATATGGTGAAGCACAATTAAACTGAATAGGAACTAATAGCACTTCAATCTCTAAAGATCACATTGATTATTAAGGCATCCTCTTACATGCCACAAATAGCA